CTTATTCAGCTTAAAACCTGCCACCTGACCAAACTCTTGAATCAGTTCTAATGCTCTTTTCGTACTAGATTCTGGCTCCTGTAATGTCAGTACAAGGTCATCTGCAAATGCTTTCAGTTTGTATTGTTTCGCTCCGACCGTTATACCCTTAATCAAATGGTCCCTTCTTATCATATTTAACAAAACCTCCAGAACAGAAATAAAAAGTAATGGGGAAATTGGGCAGCCTTGTCGTGTCCCTTTCTCTATCTTAATTTCCTCTGTTATCACATTATTAACTATTAATTTAGCTTTTTGTTCTGAATAAATTGCATTTATACCATTTTCAAACTCTTGGCCTACCCCCATCCCCTGGAGATTTTTCTTCATAAAGCTCCAAGAAATATTATCAAAGGCTTTCTCTGCGTCCACAAAAATCAAAACTGCTTTAGTATTAATCTCCTCTTGCAGCTTCTCCAGAATATCAATTATATTCCTTGTATTGTCCGAAAGATGTCTATCTGGAAGAAAGCCAGCTTGGTCCTTATGAATCACTCCTTTTAGCACTTTTTAAGCCTTTTGCTAAAATGTCAGCAAAAATTTTGTAATCCACATTTAACAGGGATATGGGCCGATAGTTCTTAAGCTGTGTCTTTTCAGTCTCAGACTTTGGTATAAGTGTAATAAATGCGTCCTTCCACGACTCTGGCGCTCTTTTCCCCTCTAAAATTTCATTGCAAACCTCAGTTAATGGTCGAATTAGCCAGTCTTTCAAAGTTCTGTAATATTTTGAGGTTAAACCGTCCGGTCCTGGAGATTTTCCCAACTGCATATTCTGAATGGCACCTTCAACCTCCTGTTCTGTAATTTTATAATTCAGCAATATCTTGTTATCCTGAGAGATTTTTGTAATCCATTGGTTTTCAGAAATTGCTCTATTTCAAATTCTTTCTGAGGCCCTTGTGTGTATAATTGTTTAAAATATCTCTGGAAGCATTTCCTAATTTCTTCTGGATTCTGGATATTTTTCCCTTCCAAATTAGTAATAGTATTAAGTTTTTGTCGTTTCTTCAACTGCCAAGCCAGCAGTTTCCCACATTTATTTGCCGATTCAAAAGTCTTTTGTCTCATTTGTTTAATTTTCCATTCCACTTCTTGATTTATCAATTTCATATACTGCACTTGGTGCAATTTTATTCCCTCAGAATCTCTTGTGAATTGGGCTTCACTCTCAGTTTCTTCTCGCCCTCCTTTATTTTTTCCAGAATTTTTTCTTTCTTTACATTTTGGGCCCTCTTCTTAACTGAATTCTGTTGAATCAGGAAGCCCCTCATAACAGCTTTACTTGCATCCCAGATTATTCTTTTTTCTACAGCTGTATTCAAGTTTATCTCAAAATAGTCTCTCAATGTCTTTTGGGCCTTCTTAATCACCTCTTGATCTCTAAACAAGGTGTCATTCATCCTCCATCGGAAGGAACCAGTAGATGTTAACTTCATCTCCATTCTCACGGCGTTATGGTCGGAGCATGTTTTTGGACAGATCTCTACCTTCCTAACCTTAGGTGCCAGTCCTCTAGTAGTCCAGATTTGGTCAATTCTTGTCCATGTCTTTTGGGCTTCAGAAAAAAGGTTCCTTCTCTATCAAGGGGATTCCTAGTTCTCCAAATATCAATCAAATCCATATTGTCAGTTAATTCAAAAATGTTTTCGGTAGTCTGCCATCTTTAGTGACTACCTCTCTTTGTGACTTGTCCATGTTTGTGGAAACCACCCCATTCATATCTCCCATAAAAACAGTGTTATAGTCCATATATTCCATCAAGATCTCATGCAACTTTTTGTAAAATATAGATTTCCCCTCATTTGGTGCATATAAGCCTACTATCAAAAGTTTTTCTCCTTGTGCTTGAATTTCAATTGCTATGAATCTTCCTTGTTCATCCTTAAAGACGAATTTTGGTGAGAGGCTCTCCTTTGCGTAAATGACCACTCCTCGTTTTTTAACTTTATCTGATGAAATAAATTCTTGACCCAATCTCTTATTAATCAATATTTTCCTATGGAGCCTCGTCACATGGGTTTCCTGTAGGCAGATTAAGTCCAATTGTTCTTTTTTAAGTATATGAAATACTTTCCTCCTTTTTTCCGGAGAATTTAGACCACAAACATTCCAAGTTAAAAGTTGCAGAGCCATGATGATTTCTTTATTTTCCTCCAACTGCTCCCAATAACTCTTCTTCCTCTGTTGGTGGTTTCGCCTTCTCTGTCTTATCCTCTCCCAACGGTGGTAGTGTAAGATCCAATCCTGATAAAGGGGCTTTTAGCTCCTCCCCCAATCCTTTTTGTAGGTCCTCTTGATGGTCTCTCAAAAAGTTCTGTTTCTCCTCCACAGATTTTATTTTAATTTTCTTGCCTTTAAAACTGAAAGATAGGCCTTGAGGAAATTCCCACCTGAAAAAAATTCTGTTTCCTCTAAAGTACTTGAGAAGAATTTAACACCGATTGAAAAAGAGAGGTTTCAGAATGAGATAGGTTTAACAGTGGTAAAAAAAGTGAAATACTTGGGGATTCATATGACAGCTAAAAATGGGAATTTATTTAAAGACAATTATGAAAAGTGTTGGTCGGACATTAAAAAGGATTTAGAAATATGGACAAATTTGAAGCTTTCCTTGTTAGGTCGAATTGCTGTCATCAAGATGAATGTATTGCCAAGAATGCTGTTTTTGTTTCAATCGATACAAATAATAGACAAAATGGATTGTTTTAAGAAGTGGCAGAGAGATATCTCTAAGTTTGTCTGGCAGGGCAAGAGGCCCAGGATAAAATTTAAAATATTGACTGATGCTAAAGAAAGAGGGGATTTGCCCTGCCAGACTTTAAACTTTATTATGAATCAGCAGCTTTCTGCTGGTTGAAGGATTGGTTACTTCTGGAAAATACTGATGTTTTGGACTTAGAAGGTTTCAATAATGTGTTTGGGTGGCATGCATATTTGTGGTATGACAAGGTTAAAGCTCACAAAATATTTAAAAACCATATTGTCAGGAAAGCATTGTTCAATGTCTGGATAAGATATAAAGACTTATTGGAGAATAAAACCCCAAGGTGGCTATCACCAATGGAGGCAAAGGCCCTGAAAAAGTCCAATATGGAGGCCAAGTGGCCAAAATATTGGGAGATCTTGGAACAAGAAGGAGATAAATTCAAATTGCAGAGTTTTGAAAAACTAAAAGATAGAGTGCGAGACTGGTTGCATTATTACCAAATAAGAGAGGTCTATAATTTGGATAGAAAAATTGGCTTCCAGGTGGAAAAATCAAAGTTGGAAACAGAACTGCTAGATCCCAAAACTAAAACACTTTCAAGAATGTATAACTTGCTGCTAAAATGGAATACTCAGGATGAAACGGTAAAATCTGCTATGATTAAATGGGCACAGGATGTTGGACATAACATTATGTTTGCTGACTGGGAACGGTTATGGACCACAGGTACGAAGTTTACAGCATGTAATGCTTTAAAAGAGAATATAATGAAAATGGTGTACAGGTGGTACATGACCCCAGTCAAGCTTGCAAAAATCTACCATTTGCCCGATAATAAATGTTGGAAATGTAATGAAACTGAAGGTACATTCTTTCACCTTTGGTGGACGTGCCCAAAGATTAAGGCCTTCTGGGAAAGGATATATAACGAGTTGAAAAAGGTATTTAAGTATACCTTCTTAAAGAAACCAGAGGCCTTTCTCCTGGGCATTGTTGGCCAATTGGTGCCAAAGAAAGATAGAACTTTCTTTATGTATGCAACAGCAGCAGCAAGGATACTTATCGCAAAGTATTGGAAGACACAAGACTTACCCACTCTGGAAGAATGGCAGATGAAGGTAATCGATTATATGGAATTGGCGGAAATGACTGGCAGAATCCGTGACCAGGGAGAAGAGTCGGTGGAAGAAGATTGGAAGAAATTTAAAGACTATCTACAGAAATACTATAAAATTAATGAATGTTAAATTGAGGTCTGATTGAAAATAACTGGTATTGGCAAAAGCCTTGCGTTTAAGAGCATGGAATATTTGATTGATAAGGTTGTAAAAATATCTATATATAAATAGATTAAGTTTCTTGAGTTAAGATAAAGGAAGGAGGGTAAGGATTTGCTGAAAGGAGTTTCTAAAAGGAAATACAAGTGGGGAGGTGCGGG